TGTTTACACAATTAGGATGATCATAGGGATCTTTCTCTTTGTAATAGTTTTCTCTTGCTGTCTTAACAAATTAGCACAGCCAAGACCAGTTTGGCTCAATGGATAGAGCATCGGCTTAGGGACTGAACGGTCCCGGGTTTGATTCCGGTCAAGGGCACATACCTTGGTTGCGGGCATATCCCCAGTAGGGGGTGTGCAAGAGGCAGCTGAAAGATGACTCTCTCTCATCAATGTTTCTAACTCTACCTCTCTCCCTTCCTCTCTGTACAAAATCAATAAAATATATTTTAAAAAATTAGCACAAATTTACAACATACATTTATCATCTCACAGTTCCGTAGGCCAGAATTTTGGTACGGGTCTTCCCAGACAGAATCATGGTATTGGAAAGCTACATTCCTTTCTGGAGAGCCTATGGGATAATCCCTTTCCTATTCATTTGGCTGTTGGCAGAATTCAGTTATTTGTGGTTGCAGGACCCAAGTCCAATTGTCTTGCTATCTGGGGGCCATTCCCAGCTCCTAAGAGGCCACGATGTTTCTTGGCTCCTGCTCCCTTTCCTCCATCCTCAAAGCCAACAGTGGTGGTTTGAGTCTTTTTCACATGGCATTTCTCTAACCCACTCTTCTGTCTCTCTCTTCCACTGTTAGCAGTTTTATGTGATGAGATAATCCAGGACAATCTCTCTATTTTATGGTCAACGGATTAGAAACCATATAGTGTCATCCCCACATTTAATTTCTTGTAGCAAAGTATTCTCAAATTCTGGGGATTAAGACATAGGCAGTTTGAGGGACCATTATTCTCTCTCCTACACTCTCCTTTTTTGTTAGTATGTATGGCATGTTGCATGATTTTTAATTGCTAAAATAATCTTGCTTTCCTGGGGTAAAATTCATTTAATTGCAATGTGTTATATTTCAACTAGATGCCCGGTGCATGAAATGCATGCATGGAGGGGAAGAGGTGTCCCTCAGCCCAGTCTGCACCCTCTCCAATCTGGGACCCCTCGAGGAATGTCCGACTGCCCTTTTAGGCCCAATCCTGGTGTGATTGGGCCTAAATGGGCAGTCAGACATCCCTCTCACAATCCAGGACTGCTGGCTCCAAAACACTTGCCTGCCTGCCTGCCTGATTGCCCCTAACCACTCCATGCCAGCCTGATTGATGCCTAACTGCTCCCCTGCCAGCCTGATTACCCCTAACTGCCCTCCCCTGTAGGCCTGATCACTCCCAACTGCCCTTCCCTTCTGGCCTGGTCTCTCCCAACTGCCCTCCCCTGACAGTCTGGTCCCTCACAACTGCCCTCCCCTGCAGGCCTGGTCCCCCACAACTGCCCTTTCCTACAGGCCTGGGTTCCCCCCATCTGCTCTCCCCTGAAGGTCTGATTACCCCCAACTGCCCTCCCTTGCAGGCCTTGTATCTCCTAACTGCCCTCCCCTGCAAGCCTGATCATCCACAACTGCCCTCCCCTGCACCATGGCCATCTTGTGGTGGCCATCTTGGGTCCACAAGGGGGCAGCCATCTTTCACCATATGGGGCTGCCATCTTGTGTGTTGGAGTGATGGTCAATTTGCATATTACTCTTTTGTTAGATAGAATATGCTGCTATATTAGGCCAATGAATAAATAATTTGTGCCTTATTGATACAATGGAATTCAATGGACTATTGGAAGCCAAGAGGATGAGTCATATATCTGTCATTCCTTGAAGCACAGGGGACGCATTTATCTTGCTCACTTTTGGATTTTAAAAATCTGCCTCAAATATGGCACCGAGTTGATGACTCAGAGGACAATTTTAAGCTTTATATATATATTTTTTGTGGGAATCTGGAAAAATATGAGAAGATTTTCTGTGGTCATTACATCTGGGCCTTAAAGGTATTCATAATTTTAATCCTCAAAAAACTCTTATCAGACAAGTTGTGGTATTGTCAAACTCATTTTACATCTGTGTCAAAAAGATACACCAGGGAAGGGAGGGCAGAAGGTTGGTCTCACCCAGTCCATGGCCCTGCAGCCATTTCTGATCTCTGTACTATAACCCCTGAGGGGCTTTCCCCTATGGGAATAAATTCACAGTGTGCTCAGAAGTGATTCCTCTTTGGTGAGCATTCCTCTCCCAGCAGTGTCTTGGCCTTCCTGGTGTCAGTCTCCAAGCTGCTTCTCTGCCAATGAAGTTTGAACCCCTGCAGAGATAGATGAATCTTAGCTGTTTGTTCCTAATTGGTATGTCACTGAGGGTAGAATGGTAGTCTGGTTCCTTCCCCATAAAGGTGTGAAGGTGGCCTAGTGAAAGCCAGGGCCCATCAGAGGAGTGAATTAGAGTATAATGAAAAGGCTGCCCAGCAGGATCAAAGTGTATACACAAGGACTGTGCAAAAAGGCAAATATATTGAGGATACTGGGAGGTTGAGTTTTCCTGTCAGAAGGCACTATTGACATGGAAAGGTAAAAAGTGAAAGAAATATGGTGTGATCCCTGTAGTGTTGGACTGGCACAGAAGGTGCTGCTGTAACCTCATGGTTTTCAACAGATATAGAAATAAGATCTTGGCTTCTAAACACGATGTTCTACAATAAGAAAGATCAGGAATCCTTGGAGAAATGGCTGAGTAAATAGCATTTTCATTTTCCAACAAAACAAATCAAAGAATCATGCATTAAGCATGTCCATGAGGGGCTGTTTATACTAATAAAATATATCTATTAGAAAGATATGTAGTCAAAATTTTATGCATCCTCCAACCTCAATGAATATGGAGGACAAGGGTAGAGTGACTAGAGACAGACTACTCAGATTGGTGGGGGAAAGGTTAAATAAGCTAGGGAACTAACATTCAAGGCTTGTTGTGTGACTGTGAGAATCTTAAAGTTTGTATAAATTCCCTAATTGGTTCAGTCACTCTATTGTCCAGATGATCTCAACACCTTACTCTCTCAAGGCTCTGTCTTTGAAACAGCTCTGCCTATGGGAATGGTGGGCAGAATGTCCAATCCAAGGACAAGGATGAGGGTAAAGGGCCTAATTGTCCAGGTCCAGCTCAAGAGTCAATTGGTTGTCACATCCTCTCAATGACCTCATCCAATAGATGACTGTGGAATTCTAATAAAACAAGAGGCCTGGTGAATGAATTCATACATCAATGTGGTTCCTCGGCCTGGCCTGCAGGAATTGGGCCAAAACCAGCTCTCCAAAATCCCCCAAGGGGTCCTGGATTGTGATTGTGAGAGGGCAGTTCTCAGGTGACACACCTTGGAATCTGGCTCCCTCCTCTCTGGTACCTGGTGGGTTATCTGAGAACCGCAGCTGCCAAGTCACTGCAGCTCAGCAGCTCCTGCATTGAGCATCTGCGCCCTGGTGGTCATTGCACATCATAGCAACCGGTCGAACAGTCACATGGTCACTTAGGCTAATATATAGATATAGAGACAGAGATAGAGACAGAGACAGAGATAGAGATAGAGATAGAGATAGAGATATATATAGATAGATATAGATATAGATATAGATGATAAAAATAGATACAGTATAGATATAGATGATGATATAGATATAGATAAAGATATAGATATAGATATAGATATAGATATAGATATAGATATAGATATAGATATAGATATAGATATAGATAGATATATAGATATAGATATAGATATAGATATAGATATAGATATAGATATAAAGATATAGATAGATATAGATATAGATATAGATATATAGATATAGATATAGATATATAGATATAAATGATGGGAGCAAACCAGGAGTTCAGTAGGTTCTCATTACACGCCAGTTCCTTTCATCTCCTCAGAGAACAGGGTTTTTTGTTTTTTTTTAATATATTTTTATCAATTTCAGAGAGGGAGAGGGAGAAATAGTAACATCAATGATGAAAGAGAATCATTAATCTGCTGTGTCCTGCACACCGCCCACTGGAGATTGAGCCTGCAACCTGGGCATGTGTCCTGACTGGGAATCGAACTGTGACCTCCTGGTTCATAGATAGCCATGCCAGCTGGGCCAGGGCACAGGTCTTAACCAGAACAGGGTGTGTCTGGGGAACGGTGGTCCTCCCTCTTCAGAGGGCTTTGGGGCTCTGTTCTGATCCTCTCCCATCTTGGTGTGCCAGGACACATGGTCCTTGGAATGGGTGTGACACCATCAGGGACGGCACTGGACCATCTGGACAAAGGGTGGGAAGCTCAGGGCACTTGGGTCCTTCTTCCTGTGGTGGCAGATGTTGAAAGGGTCTGTCCTGTCAGGATGCTTTGACCCCTGGGGAGATCTTGACAACAGATGAGGAGTGCACCCAGGGCTCTTCCCCAGGCTGTGCTCCTCCTCGTCACCACAATCCTTCTGCGGCCTGCGGACTTGCTTTTCTCTCTCCTGGCTGCTGTGTTCCTCCCCGGGCCTCCTGCACTCAGCCCTCTGCCCACCTGCCACCTTCTCCCCTGCAGCAGCCTCAGAAGGCAGCACCCTGGCCTGGCTCCTCTGGGGAGGCACTGGGAGCGGAGCTCCAATGGGAGTTGGGATCTAAGGTGGAGGGAAGGGAAGCTTCTTTTTCTGTGATTTATCTCCGCCAAAACTCTGCACCCAAAGGGTCGGCAGGGAGGCGATGGGGACCTTGCCACCTGCTGCTGCAGAGGGGCTTCTGGTGAAACACCACGATTAGCAGAAGGACAATCTCACCTCACTTCCCTCTGCCCACCCTTGGGTTCAATTTAATGAAGCGCCTTGTAACACCAGGCTCTGAAATGAAGCTGAGACTTAGCTATTAGTGTCTTCACACAAGGCTGTGAGTGGGACAATTGCCACCCGCGGGGCCAGGCCCATGCTGCCGCCTTCCCCTCGCGGGAGCATTGGTCCAGGGCCAGTGGGGGTCTCAGCGTCTCCTGAGGAGGCCCTCCCACCTGCAGCTCTCCTTCTGGCGGAGATCTCACCACTGGCCCCTCTGTCCTCCCAGGCCATTGCCCCACACCAGACACAGGCGCCCTCCAGTTTTATTTACTTTATTGAACTTGAGAACCTTTTAATAACTTAGACAACAAGTTGTGAACAACACCAGAAACAGGAACATTTCTGACAAGAACAGAGTGACCACAAACAGAAAACTGAGACATCTTATTCAGGTTGGTGTCTCTGATTGGCAGAATTTCCGCTGCCTGGAACACAGACGGCTAACAAGTAAAGTGCACTGAGAGCCAGTCAAGCAGCCAGGGCCCAGGAGGGCTGGGGGAGGTGGGAAAGCAGAAACAGCTCACACTACTCAAGGCCAAAATGGTAAGAAAAGCAGCGCAGGAACAGGCTAAGGACTGGCTGGCGGCTGGCCCCTTCCCCAGCCTTTCCCTCTGAGCAGACAGCCAGAGCCAGAGCTGGAGGGCTTCCGGGGTCCCCCCGGATGGGGAGGAGCTTCCTGGCAGGGGAGTGGGTCTATGAGGCCGGGGGACCCTGAGGTCAGAGACATATTTCCCCTGTGGGACACCAGCCCACAGTCAGTGAGGGGCCTCCCTCATGCCAGTCTCAGGTCTGCTTCCTCCCTGGCCAGCCCAGGAAGAGGCTGGAGCTGCGGATCGAGTCTCCCAAACGGGAGACCTGGGCTTGAAAGGAAGGGGCACATCTGTGCACCATCCCCAAGGAGGCCCCGGGCCCTCCTCCCACCTTACACAGCCCGTGTTGCTCTCCTTTTCCTGAGGCCGTCCCCGAAGATCGGCAGGTGGAGTTGGCAGGCCGGCTGGCAGGCTCCCAGAAGTGGTCCTGGGTGGACAGCGTGGGGGCGGAGGGGCCACCAGGACCAGGGGCTCCCAGGTGACTTGGCACAAGGAAGGGAGCCATCAGGCTCTGTTGGTGGGAAACTGCAGGGGCACGTGGCAGCCGGGGTCCCCAGTCCTGTGGTGAGGCAGGAGGAGCACTTCACCCAGGCCCCAGGCTCCAGCCGGGCAGCTGAGAGGGCAGACGTGGTGAGATCGGGCCACTCCGTCCCTGGGGCTGAGCACACTGCTGTGGTTTTCAGTCTCAGGAACTCTGAGGACTTGGGCTGGCAGCAGCCAGTGTCAGTGCAGGTGGGGGCCGGGGTGGGTGGTGAGGGCCAGGGTCTCTCCGGGCTCCCCTCCGGGCTGCTCCTGGCCATGCCGGTACACCATCAGCAGCACAGCTGGGCCTCCAGGACCAATCCAAGCCCATCTGGAGGACAGTCTCCTGTGTGATCCTGGGCGTGGGGGATCCGAGCCTGGGACAGAGAAATGGGTCGTGCATGGTTCCCTGTCTCCCCACCCCCAGCTCATCCCTTACCCTCTGGTCACATCGTGTCCCCAGGAGCTACCTCTCCTCCCCCTCCCAGACTGAGAGGCTTGTAACCAACTGCGGAGGAGCCCCTGGTTAAGCCTGGGGTGGTGGTGGTGGTGGTGGTGGTGGTGGTGGTGGGGTGGGGGAAGACCTGGCTCTGTGGGTGAGGGCCTTAGCTGCCCAGGGATCCTTGGACACATCTGTCTTCTGCCCATCTCAGCTCAGACTGTCCTCCTGGTGTTTCCTGTGGCCGCCCATCCCCCTCCAAGGAAAGCTAGTTCCCCACCGGGAACCTCTCTCCCTAGCTCCCTGGGAGCCTTGTGGTCCCCTGCCCAGCCCACTGGGCCAGGTCTTCCAGAAGACGGGGTGCGGGTGGGGGAGCAGGCCTTCGGGAAGATTTAGCTCCACCACTTCCTATCTGTGTGACAGGACAAATGTGAGCCCCTCCCAGAACCGTTTCCCATGTCAGCAGGTGGGGAGAACAGAACACTGGGTGAGCTCGATTTCAGTGCCCCGGTGCCAGTGTCCTGTCCTTCCCATGCCACAACCAGACCTCTGGGCCGCCCCCATACCTCGGGCCTCTGCCGGGCAGGCCCTTGATCTTCTCCTCAGCCAGGCTCTTCACTCGGCTGCTGCCAGGAAGCTCTGGGGGCAGGGGGTCCTTGGGCACAGATTTGACTGTCGATGAGGCCAGAGAGGGGGCGAGTCACTGGCTGCAAACACTGGTTCCTGAAAAAGAAATGGAGATGGAGAGTTGCCTCCCTACCCAGAGAGGCCCCAGTTCTCCACGTGTTGTCTTCTCCACAAGCCCCTTCTCCCTCTGTGCTCCCCACCCCAGCCTGAAGCTGCCTCTGCTCAAGGACACCCACGTTTCCCAGGTGCTCTGGGCTCACAGGGCACTCCTGGGCGCTGTCTGGGCCAAAGGACGGCATTCTGTGGCCAGGGGACGGCTGGAGGTGGCAGAAGAGCCAAACTGGGGGGCTGCTAGGGAGGAGGGCATCTTTCCCCTCTTCCTCCAAGAGGAAGGGGGAGCAAAAGGGAGAGCAGGGGCAGGATTCAGGGGGCTGCAGAGAGCCCGAGGCCTGAGTGCTGAGAAGGGGGCAGACCTGGGGTTCCAGGCTACCTCTCCAGGGGGGTGAAGTGTGGTACAGGGGCCACCCCAGCCCATTCCCCTCCATCACCTTTTTCTCAGGTGACACCTCCTGGGCCTCTGGGGATAGAGCGGGATTGGGGGAAGGGGGGGCGGGGTAGCTGGCTGTGGGCGGGACAGGACACCCAGGTCTCCATGGGTGGAAGGCTGAACTGCTGAGGTGCAAGATGCCTAAGCCACAGCCACCCTCACCCCCAATTTGGAATCACAGCAAGGGACTCCAGGAGCCTGTGGCTCTGCCTCTGCTCAGCAGCTCTCTGGGCTGGCGTCCTGGGGTCCTTCCATACCCCGCCCCACTCACACACACAACCCCAGGGGCCTGGACGGTTAGATCCATGGCAACCGCCTCCCTCCAACCGCCTCTCTGGCAGCCTACCTTTTTGGTGAGACCGGTCAAAGCAGGGCCCGCAGGAGCATTTCTGTCTGGTTCCCCCTTTGGCCAACGTGAGGTAACAGCTGATTTTCCGGAGCCCAGGGAAGGGTCCGCTTTGTCCGTGTTTGTGCGATGCGCACCAGGCCGACCGGGTCCGGGGTCGGGTGGCCGGGTGGCTCAGTGGCCAGCGTCCTGTCGGGGAGCCCCGGGGGCCAGGGACCCGGGCCACCCGCCCTCCTTCCCGCGCCGCGACCCGGAGACCCGGGCGGCGCGGCCGGCCCCCATGCGGCGGGGGGCGGGGGGCGGGAGCGGCGCCCTCCTGGGGGGCCCGCGGCCCCGCGCTCACTCGATCCGCACCTGCAGGCGCACGTTGAACATGACGGAGGCCACGATGTAGAAGTAGGGGAAGTTGAGGCGCAGCCGCCAGGCCAGGTCGAAGAAGGTGAGCAGCGTGCGCGTGAGCCCCTTGCAGAAGACGCCGTAGGAGCCGCGGGTCGCCGCCAGGCGCGAGAGCCGCACCGCCATGCCGGACAGGGCCGCGGCCGCCGCCGCCACCGACAGAGCCGCCGTCACCGCCATGGCCGGGCGGCTCGGGCCCCGCGGACCCGCAGGAGCAGCAGCCGAGGGCAGGGGGACCTGGGGCCAGAGCACCCTCAAGCCCCGCCCACCGACTCCTCCGGAACAGGGCACTGGTTGCCGCAGCAGCAGCTACTCCTCCTCCTCCCCTGCTCTAGAGCTGCTCAGCCATCTTGCCAGAGTAGCTCCGCCCCTATCCTGGGCACGCCCCTCACTGGGAGCCAATAAGCTGCGGCTTCAGATATAGCCCCGCCCATGGAGCCAGCCCCTAGGCAAGCCCCATAGGAGATGCCTCTGGGCTTGCCAACCCAAGCTCTGAAGAGCAGTTAGAGGGCCTGAGCTAAGTGAAAGGCACTGCTCCCCTGGAGAGGTGTAGAGGGATGAGGGGTTGGAGTGCATGGACAGCTGTGTTGATTCTGTACAGTAGGCCCCTCAGAAGGCCCCTCCTGTTCACGACCCTCCCCAATGTCTTTTACAGAGCTTTTGTTGCTTTAGGAGAAGGATGACCAGACATCCCGCTTTTGGCGGGACAGTCTTGATTTTTGGAAAGAATTCTATCCAAAAATCGGGACTTTTTAAAAACGCTGCGGGAGGCAAGAAAATTTGTTAGAAATCAGGACTGTCCCGCCAAAAGCGGGACGATCTGGTCACCTTACTTTAGGAACATCGTTTTACTACAGACTGCAACTCATCTACACCAGGGAGTTAAAAAAATATATATCACAGAAATTCCAAGTTCCTTGGCTATTTCACCTACAAATTGTAGCCTGAAACCTGTGGGCACAAAACCAGGAAGAGACCTAGCTAGGACTGGATCTCAGATCTGAGTCTCAGATCTGCTGAGCAATACCCCTTCTCTTTACAACTAACGGTATAACATTACCAGTAATAAGAAGGAATACTGTTAAGAAAGAGAAAAGTGGGAAAGTGAAATATTCTGATTTGGTCATTTTGAAGCCAGATCCTCTCCATAGGTTGCCTTGAATTGCCTGGGACATTACACTTCTCTCATTCAATACTTCTTCAAGTATTTATTAAACACTGATTATCCTCCAGGCTTTGTTCTATGTGCTGGAAGCAGAGAAAGGCAATAAAATCCTTGCTCCCAAGGACCTAATATTTAACGGGGGGGGGGGTGAGTATAGTAGGGGGGAGACAGACAATTCATCTGTAAGTAAATCAATAGATAAGATTTTTCAGCTAGTAACCAGGGACATACAATATAGCAGGAGTGTGTAATAGAGTGTTTCACACTAGAAGAGAACTCTTTCATATAATTTGGTCAGGGAAAGCAACTATAAGGAGGTCACATTTTAGCTGAAATCCAAGGGACCATGGGAAGGAAATAGCTTTGGAAAAGCTAAAGGAAGAGCCACCCAGATTGAGAGAACAGCAATTGCTGATGCAGTAAGTTTGATTCTGCTTGGGCATTGTTGATGAAGTCTTTACCTAAGCTCTTTTTAAAGGTAATATATATTTTTAAAAAATAGATTTTATTGATTTTTTACAGAGAGGAAGGGAGAGGGATAGAGAGTTAGAAACATTGTTGAGAGAGAAACACTGATCAGCTGCCTCCTGCACAGCCCCCACTGGGGATGCCCCTGACCGGAATCGAACCTGGGACTTTTCAGTACACAGGCCAATGCTCTATCCACTGAGCCAAACCAGCTAGGTAATATATTTTTTTTTCTGCAAAGAATGCAAGTCAATAAGGTAAGTGGATACACATAATGAAATTGTATGTTATACTTGTAAGTAAGAGACTAGATATACACACAGCAAATCTACAGATGAAGAAAGAAAGAGGATGAAATGTATATAACAAAGTACCATTTTGGTAAAATGAAAGTGAGTGCACAGAACATAAGAAATCAGGTTTTCGCTGAAGCCGGTTTGGCTCAGTGGTAGAGCGTCGGCCTGCGGACTGAAGGGTCCCAGGTTCGATTCCGGTCAAGGGCATGTACATTGGTTGTGGGCACATCCCCGGTAGGGGGTGTGCAAGAGGCAGCTGGTCGATGTTTCTCTCTCATTGACGTTTCTAGCTCTCTATCTCTCTCTTCCTCTCTGTAAAAAATCAATAAAATATATTAAAAAAAAAAAAGAAATCAGGTTTTCACTGTCCCAAAAATAACTTACAAGTAAGCAAGAAGGAAAGTAAGAATGAACGCTGTGGTGCTGTACCACACTTGGAGTAGAAGGCTGAATAGTCTGTATTTTATTAATCATTCATAATTTATGTATCTATGCAGCCCCTTTTCCTAGAGTTATTGGGTGCTTATTATGTGCCAGGGTTATTTGTAGTGTTTGTCTGCCAATGGGCAACGTTTCCCTATGAGGTACACTTGGGAGTCATAATGTGAGCCAAAATGTGTGCATCTTGAACACTTATTAACTAATTCCATATTCCAAAGTGTCAGCAGCAATCATTTGTCTTCCATCAGTAGATAAAAGTTGCAGCACCTGTCCTGTCCTATTCTTGATATAACCATTAAAATTATTGCCAGTCTGAGAGATGTGGATTGACGTGTCATTGTGCATTTAATATGCATTTATTTGTCCAGTTACTGATGAAGCCAAGTATCTTCTATTTTTTTAATGTATATTTTCATTGCTTTCAGAGAAGAAGGGAGAGGGGGGGAGAGAGATAGAAACAGCAATGATGAGAGAGAATCATTGATTGGCTGCTTCCTGCACATTCCCTCACTGGGGATCTAGCCCACAACCCAGACATGTGCTGGGAATCGAACTATGACCTCCTAGTTCTTAGGTCAATGCTCAACCACTGAACCACAGCGGCCTGGCATGTCGAGTATCTTTTCAATGTCTATTGGCAATTTGGCTCCCTCCTCTAAGAACTGCTTCTTCCAAATCTTCTGTCCACTTTTCTTTTTTTTCTTTTTTTTCCTGTCCGCTTTTCTATTGGACTGTTTGGTAGAAATAAACATTATTTTTAGATTGATTTTACATCTAGCATGCTTGCTAAACTCTTTTAATAATTTGAATGATTAATATGTGATTCTCTCAGAGGAAAGGTGGGCATGGGGGTGGGTAGGAAGAGATTAACCAAAGAACTTGTAAGCATACATGCATAACCCATGGACACAGACAATAGTGTAGTGAAGGCCTGGGGCAGAGGGCAGGGGCTGGTTAGAAGGGGTCAATGGGGCAAATAAGGAGGACATATGTAATACTTTAAACAATAAAGATTTAATAAAAAATAAACATTAAAAAATATTTGAAATTGAATAACAAAATAAAACCCAAAGCATGGAGGCATGGAACAGACAGACATACTTCTATGTAGGGTTGGGGGCACGAAGAGAGATAAATCAAAGAACTCATATACTTATATACATAGCCCATGGACACGGGCAATAGGGTAGTGAAGACCAAGGAAGTGTAGAGGCTGGGAGGAAGGGGATGAAGGGGGAGAAATGGGAAATATCTGTAATACTAGCAACAACAAAAATATGTTTTTAAAAATATCTGATTCTTTGTGCTTTCTAAGTAGAAAACCCCATAATCTGTAAAGAATGACAGTTCTCTGTTTTTTTCTAACCTTATATTGATGATTTTTTTTTTTTTTTGCATTACAAAGCCTAGTTAAAACTTTCAGTCTCCAGTGCTTCCTTGGTCTTGATCTTGATCTTAAAGGGGATGATTTCAAAGTCTCACTGTGGATAGTTCTTATTCCAAGTGTCTATCTCACTAACTCTAACTTCCTTCAAATCCTTGCTCAACTATTAATTTTCTAATGAAGCTTATTCTGACTACTACCCTATTCTAACATACAACTTTCCACCCTTCCCCAGCACTCCAGAACTTCCTTTCCTGGTATATTTTCCCAAATTTCCAAGATACCATATGTTTTAGTTATTTATTGCTTTAGCATCTACCCTTTCCTCAAGCCACAAGAATGTTATTTCTACATGGACCAAAGTTTTTGTCTTTCTGTTCATTGATTTATTCCAAGTGCTCAGGATAATATATTAGTCAGCACTCAACAAATATTAATTAAATGAATGAATAAATGGAAATGTATCTGGCAGAGTAACTGGCTAGCATAATGATGTAAGCACTCAAAAATGATAGTAGTGCTCAGCCGGCATGGCTCAGTGGTTGAGCATCAAAATATGATCAGGAGGTCACGGTTCGATTCCTGGTGGGGGCATATGCTCAGGTTGCAGACTCGGTCCTCAGTTTGGGGCATGCAGGAGACAGCTGATCAATGATTCCCTCTTATCATTGATGGTTCTCGCTCTCCCTCTCCCTCTCCCTTCCTCTCTAAAATCAATTATACACACACACACTTTTCAAATGGTAGTAGTGATTAAGAAAGAATTCCATGATAAACTACCACTAGACTCTATAAAAGGTATTGGCCATCCCTAAAATGTTACATACCCACAAGTACACATACAGACACACACACACACACACACACACACACACACACACACACACACACCACTCAAGCAACAGGTAATAACTTCTGGGTTTCATTTTCATTTGATCCCATTCTCATGCCCATAACCCCTTGCAGGCACGGTTCCAGACAGAGTCTATTCTAAAGGCACTTCTGCAAGATATGGAGGCTAGAGGGGTGCATTCTTTCTCTGGCTCTAGTGGTGGCAGGCTAGTGCAGGCTTAAGGGAGTGGGAGTTCCTGCTCCTTTCTCAGACTCCACATTCCCATCAGTCTCCATTTCTGGGGCATCATGAAAGCTCTGGCTTTGGCACATCTAGCACTGTTCTGTATTGTTTTCTCTTTGACTATTCTGGACTAATCCAAGTAGTTAGACAGACAAGTTCATTTTTTCATTGAATTTCTAATAAGGGGGATATGGCCAAGAGAATAGGCAGTTGCCATATAATGTGAAGGGCCCATCCATCAGTTTGTGAGTCAGTAGTTAAAAATTGGCAAGGGATTACACCAGAGTTCCAGACACTGTGCTAAGAAATATGAAGAAATGAGGCTTGGTGTCTGGAGAAAAAAGGATGTCAAACAAATGAGGAATGAATAAACAACTCAAGGCAATGTGTGTTCATAAGAGACTTTCAGAGTGCTGATGTTTCTGAGCACCTAATGCAGGGGTAGAAAGCCTTTCTTCCGCCAAGAGCCATTTGGATATTTATAACCCATTTAATTGTATGTTGCTGTGAAAAAGGCTCCTACATTTATTGCATTTTGAGTCCCACCTGTG